TATGAGGGTTTTAAACCTCAGGCCTTTGCAGACTCCCTTTCCTGTGCTCCCTGGTGCCCAAGCACCCCCTCCCCACAGATTTCCATACCTGTCTCCCTCTCTGTTTCCTTTTACAGATCGCAATGCCCCCAGGCCTCCATTCCCAGGAAGACCCTCTGAGGCAGCCGATCTTAAACCTCATGTCACACTTTTTCCACTAGACCAGGACTTTTTCTCAATCCCACTCCCTTACTCAACACTGCCAGCATGTTCTGCTCCGGGAGGAGCCCGAACATTATTTGATGGTTGGGGAAGCAGCCAACCATCAAATAAAGCTGTGTGTGTCTGCTCTCATTCACATGTCTGCATGTGTATATGATGCCCTGGCTTCTATCCCCAGTACTAAAAAAAATGAAAGAGCTGGAATAGGGTGAGGAAGGTGGCAGAGTGGCTCAGCATGGGCACTAGCACTGGCTCCTAGGAGACTCCAACCTCTTGGGAGGGAATGGAGTGTTAGCAGGTCCCTGAGCTGGTATTCCAGGTGTCCCTGTCCACTCCCCTCCCCATCCTCCTAAAGAGCACTGGGCCATCCCCTCCCTGGGCATTCATGGAGATACCTCACTGCTCTCCCTGCAACCACTCTGGGCTCCCAGAGTGTGTCCTGCACCCCTGGCCACACAGTCTTCACAATCCAACAATAGATCCTTCATGTCTCCCTCTACTTGCTCCACACACCCCCTCCCAAAGGCTCCAGGTGCACTGTGGGAAACCCGGAGTCCTCCTGAGGGGCTGCAGGACCCAACCTCACCACTCCTCAAACTTCAATAAACAAGGCAGCTCCCCAGCTCTTGTTTTATAAGATGCAAGAGAGATTCAAGACGTCTGAGCTGGACTCTGGTGGCTCACGCCTGTAATCCTAGCCATTCAGGAAGCATAGATTAGGAGGATCATGGTGCAAAGCAAGTCCCAGGCAAATAGTTTGTGAGACCCTAGCTTGTAAAAATCCAACATAAAACAGGGCTGTTGGAGTGGTTCAAGTGGTAGAGTGCCTGCCTAGCAAGTGTGAGGCCCTGAGTTCAAACCCCAGTATCACCAAAAAAAAAAAAGAAATCTGAGCAGAAAAAAAAGAAATCTACCCCACCCCAGCCTCTGTCCCCCAACCCTTCCAGCGTCTAGTGGTGTAACTCACTTGGCAATGGAGGAAGCTGGCCCCAGGGACAGAGCCTTCCCTGTCCTGCTCACTGTCCTGCAGGGAATAACTGCCTGATGAAGGTGAGGAAGGAAGGGACACACTTAGGGCACTTAGGATGCTCTTTTCTGCTTTTGCTCCTGGCACTTTGTTTAGCTGCTCGATTCCTTCACTGGGGACAGTAGATCAGCGTTCACTTACAAAACACAAAGAAAAGGTAAAATTATGAATCCCAGACAGTGGCAGAAGGCATTTACCCTCACACAGAACCCCCCTCAGCAGCTGCATGGGTCACATGTCCAGAAAACTGGCTTAGCCCACCCTCCAGAAGCTCCCAACCCAATGTGCAATTCTGAGAAAACCTCAGCGGTTACAAAACCTTGGATAATGCTGTGAGGGAGAGAAATACAGGGTCCCTGGACCAGATTTGGTGGGGAGGGGACATCTAGAAAGGCTTCCGCTGGTTTCGATCCTCAGTAGAGGGGAAGAGTAAACCAGCTACAGTGTCAGATACTGAGAGCCAGCTCTCTAATCCTATGGCCAGTGGTCTTCCTCTTAGGGCCCCCTCCACTCACAAAGGACTGAAGGCAGCTCAGTCATGGGGCTCCAGCCTGCCCTGCCAGGTTGCACCTCCCTGGCTGTGCTGGCCCCGGCAGGGCTGAGTCATGGAAAAAGTTAGCTCTGCAGGCTACAACTCACCTCTCCCACCAAGTCCACAAAGGCTCCTTTCACATTTTCAGGAGAGAGTGAAAAAACCATGGGGCCCTCCACCCAGGCCTGGGATGTGAAATTTCAAACCTCACCCTGGAGTTAGATTGCATGCCTCCTGCCCCGAGGAAACAGGGAGGAGGGTACCAAAAGCAAAGGATAAGGGGTGGGAAGGAGGGAGAGGGATGATGTACTCCATGCACTTCTCACTGAAACGAGGCCACAAAGACCCATGGGCCGACCTGCTCAACTGCCCAGTGCCCCCTCACCTCTATCTTCCTGGGGACTTAGGGGGAAGGCAATATAGGAGCTCACAGCTCCTTTCTGGGAAGATGGTGACGGGGAGGCCTGAGGCTCATAGGATTCCACGTTCACAAAACCTACATCCTGAAAATGGACCAAGTAGAAACAAGGCCAACATACACCTCAGGCCACCTGTGGATCTGCCAATCCCTTTTGGGATTGTCTGACGTGTTCCTATTTCCTCTAACTTTACCCAAAACATGAGAGAGAGCACCCTGCATGGCCTTGCATGAGTTAACTTAGATCTGCTGAGCCTCAATTTCCCCTGTATTGAATGGACCCTTGATTGAATGGACATGATGACATGCACCTCCCGGCCGTTAAGGAAATTAAATAAGAATGTGTGTACAGGGTACATTTGGGGTCTCAGTCTCTGCCCCCCCTCATCCCACTTCGAGCCCTCCATCTCAAACACAGGCCCATGGTTCATGGAAGTGGACTTTGGTGGTCACTCAGCTGGACCTTGCCTCTGGAGGATGGGGCCACAGGAGGTGCAGTGTCCAATCTGGGCCACTAGATGGCTCCAAGTATAACAGATGAGCACAGACTGCAGGGCCTTGGGGTCTCCACATTGAGTCCTCTTCTTCACAGGTCTGGCCACTGGGTGGATGGGATGGGGCCAGTCCCTGCCAGGCTGAGATTTCTGTCCCATTTTTAGAAGATGGAAAGAAGCAGTGACCATAATGGAGTCCTGATGTTAGCCATGCCCTGGGAACACAGGAGGGCAAGGGTCTACCCTGGGTCATCCTTTCAGGGGCGGAATGGAAGCTGTAGGCAGTCCTTGGCCAAGCCTCATCCTCCAACTCTCTCCTGCCTTCTTGCCAGAGTGGGGTGGGGTGGGAAGAGGAATTAAGTCTGGATTTGATTCCTCCCTTCTGTGCTTCCTAGCCAGTAACCTGGAAAAATGGGATAATGCCACTGCTGTAAGGTCAGTGGGAGGGTGAAATGTCAGAACACAGGCCCTCCATGACAAAGGGTAGCTCCTTCCTGACCCTTTTTTCCCTTTTGCTCTTCCACAGGCTCCAATTCACCCAGAAGGAAGATCCTCACCCACAGACTTCTCCCCAGAACCACAGTGTCTTTGCAGGCGAAGAGGTAATTCCCAGGCCGGCCTCCCCAAATCAGCCTGTCTGCAGGGGACTTTCTCACCCCTACAGAGCATTAAAATCCTGATTGCAGTTCACCCAGGCCTAATCGGCCTCTGGGGCTCAAGCCCAGAACTCCTGGTCTGAACACGTCCTGGGCTGGAAAGGGCTGCCCAGATTACAGAGCAGCCTGGCTCACTCTCCCTCCTCCGGCCCAGGGGGGTTCAGAGGGGGCGGGAGGCAAGTCCCATCAGCACTTTTAACTGGGGCTGCTTTTTCGTGACTCACCTCCCAGACTTCCTGCAATAGACAACTCCAAATAGCTCACTCCCACCCTCCAGCAGGAAGACACTTTCTTGCTGGGGAGGGCAGGAGGTTACAAGGTTACAAGATGGGTCCCAGGACAGGGCAGTCCAGGGGGACCCAAAGATAAGGGGAGACTGCTTGTATAGTACAGGGGCACAGGTTGAAGACGTTTTGTTTGCAGGCTTTTGTTATTAAGGAAATTGCTGTCAGTCAAGGTAATTCTAGCCCAGATGAGCAATAAATATGCTCCTAGCTAATCTTATGGGGATTTTATTGGCACCTGGGGCAGAAGTTCCTTTACCCTGACCACCCCCTCCCCTCAAAGCAAAATCCAGCTCCCCAGCCCTTCCCTCCTGCAACGCGGGGGACTTGGATCAGACTTAGAAAAGAACACGGACGGAAGACGGCCAGCCAAAGGTGAGGCGTGACTTCCTGGTCCTACCTGAAGGCAGGGGATGACCAAATGACCTGAAATAAACCCTGGGTGACCCGGTTTGCTTGAAGACTGGTGCGAGCTCCCCGCGGCCAGCCCAGCACTCTGGGGTGGTCACCTGGCCCGGGCGAGGAGGAATGTCTCAGGGAGGGAGCCGGCTCGCTGGAGTCGGTTCCAGCGTGTTCGGGTTCCAGCTGCGAGCCCTCAGGGACACGGGCGGCAAGTCCCGGCTTGCACAGAGGCGAGCCAGTCCCAAGAGAGTGCGAGTCGCAGCGAGCCCGTGTGCGCGCCCAGGCGCGCGCCCCGCGACGGCGCAGGGGGAGGGGAGGTCGCTGCAGCCACTCAGAGAAACGGTAGTGAAGCCTCCCAACAACTTTAACTGTCAATCAGACTTAATGGGGTATTAAAAAATTGTGGAGGGGGGGACACCCTCTTGCTCCGCGCCGCAGCTGCCCGGAGAGTGAAGGAATAACGCCGCGCAGACCAGGGCGTCCGATCCACGCGTGCTCCGTACCGGGCCCCTCTCCAAGTTGGAAAGGACAGAAAGAAGGCAATAAATGCTAAAAGGGAGAGAGCGAGCGGGATCGAGCGGCAACTCCCTGCCTGCGCTGGAAGAGAGGGAAGGAGGGAGCCGGAGAGAGCGAGCGCGCGCGAGGGCGAGCGCTGCACGTAAAGAAACTGACACCCGGACCCCCCACTTCTCCTGCACGCTGCTGGCAATCAGATCGCGTTTAAGCAATTTCCTGAGCCCAAGAATAGCAATGAGTCGGGAGACTTTCGCGGGCTGAAATTGGGAGCTCCAAGCACTTTTTCACCCCTTTTTTTTTTCCTCCTGGAAGGGGGGAGCTACAATTTGGAAACGGCTTCTCTCTCTCTCTCTCTCTCTCTCTCTCTCTCTCTCTCTCTCTCTCTCTCTCTCTCTCTCTCTCTCTTTAATCTTGCACTTTGAAACCTCGGAACTGTAGCCGGGTGCGCGCGTGTGGTTGGTGTCTTTTTTTTTTTTTTTTTTTTTCCCCTTTCCCTGCCTAAACTCTGTCAGTCTGTAAACATTACCTGAGAATTCCCCCAGCCGAAACGGCTGCCAGGGCAAGAAACTTCTTGTTAGAACTTTCCACCTCTCCGCCCCTCTCACCGTCCCTACCTCTGAGTCGCTTTTTCTCCTCCCAAGGAGGGCTTATCTTTTTCCTCCCCCCCCACCTTTTTTTTCTCACCCGGTGCTTTGCATCTGGGGAGAGGTCATTTTAAGAGTGGCCAGGTGGAACGCCTCTCGTCTGCTGACTTTGTTTATTTATTATTGTTTAGGGGTGTTTTCTTTTTCAATTCCTGTTTTGCTCGGTCCGGGGAGTTTCGCCCCCTACCCGGCTCCGCCGCGCGGAGGATGGTGTGGAAATGGCTGGGCGCGTTGGTGGTGTTCTCTCTGCAGATGATCTATCTGGTGGTCAAAGCAGCCGTGGGACTGGTGCTGCCCGCCAAGCTGCGGGACCTGTCTCGGGAGAACGTCCTCATCACCGGCGGTGGGAGAGGCATCGGGCGCCAGCTGGCTCGCGAGTTCGCAGAGCGCGGCGCCAGGAAGGTACGGGGCTCCGCGACACCTGGGAGTGGGCGCCGAGGGTGGGGGGACCCCTAGCGCGGGGGGGTGCGCCCACCTGCTGCGACTGCGGGATCCCGCGTCTGGGAGGGGGAGCTGAGAGTCGCCGACCACCCCCCTCCCCCCGTGCGCCACCCGCGAGTGCTGAGCTAGTCGGTTTCACCTTGTAAATTTTCCGGGCACCGGACTGTCTTTTTTGGCAGGTCCTAAGCTGATCTGCTCCTCTGGGATCGGCGGCTGGCTAGCTATTTACACGCCCCCAACCCCTAAACTTAGGAGACCCACCCATTCCCCACATTCCTCCCTCCCTAAGGAAGGTGTTGTGTGCCCCCCCCCACCCCTTTTGCCCTCACCCTGCTGGAGTATAGGGTGTGCGCGCTCCTGGGTAGAGCTGGGAGCCGCCTGCTGGCTGGCAGGTTGGTATTTTCCTTGGCAATCCGCTTTCCAAGCCCCAAGCTCCAAAGGCACATGAGGGGCGGGTGGTGGGGGGGTGTCTTCGTTTGAGTTCGAAAAGGAGGGAGATCTTGGAGGGTCTGGACTGGCCTGAGAGAGCTGGGAGGCCCAGGTGTTTGAAAATCAGGAAAGAAGAGGACAGGGGTGACCAGCTGCCCATAAAGAGCCCTTGTTCTCACCTTCAGCCCTGTCCCTCTCTCCAGGACAGCCCCAGAGGAGGTCCCTCCCCAATGGGAGGTGGTCCTGTGAGGGATCTTTCCCATGGGGCACTGCTTTTCACTTTTTTGGTGGTCACAGCACCCTTGCCCCGATTTTTGGAGACCTGACGCAGGAGAGCTAGGAGGGTGAGCCAGCTGTCACTCAGCTCCTAACTCAGGCTAAGCTGACTCACCCAGTGACAAGAGCAGTGGAGAGAGGGATTTGAGACCAGCAGGCCAGGCTGTCTCCAGCCGGCCCAGTGAAGAGGAAGAGCGAAAACAGGGAATTAGTTTGAAATTTAAACTGTTGTGAATGAGGGGGGTAAAAGGACCAAAAAGCCAGCTGATCTGACATGGAGCCGCATACCTTAGGGATTAAGTAAATATGTACTGTAGAAAACCAAACCTGCATGTAATTCCAGGTTGCTTTTGTTTTGTTAAATACTGCCCTGAGATTTACACTTCCTCTGGGGCGGCTGTGACTAGGACTGAACTTTGGAGTGTGAACTATCAGCCAAAGCTGATTGCCCATTAACTCTTACCTAGCTGGGCTGCCAGGAGCCCCTCTGGGCCAAGCTGGTAGGGGTCCAGCTGTCCAGGACTCCCGCTTCTCCTTGGGTGGTTTGGACAGCTGCTTGACCTTGCAGTTGGAAGGGGAGTTCGGAAGTGTTTTTAACCCTTGGACACACAGAGTAAGGGGAAATAAGAATTGTGCTCAGCAGTTTTGCTTCCTTGAGGTGAAACTCCAAGGGTCCCAAAGCCCTTTGTGCAGGGGAGGAGGGCAGGGGATTGTTTGGGACAATCGCGTGTGGTTGTCATTCCTTAGCTGTCTGCATCCCACAGAGACTTTCTTCTGAATCCTCCAGCTGGCCCCAGTCCTAAGGCTCTTTCACTGCTCTTGTGACTGACTGAAATAGGCGTATGAGGAAGGCTTAGTCAATCTGGAAAAACTTGACTGACTGTAAACAATCCTAAATTGAAGGCAGGAGATGGCATTGCGGGTGGGTGTAATAGTGCAGAGTGGGGCCTACAAGTTCATGCACTGGGAGCCAGCCTCTCCTGACTTGGAGGGACACCCTAGTCCAGGGAATAAGCTCAGGGCAGATTAAAAATATGCTTTAAATTGATGGCAAGACACTGGCACCTGTGGTTCAGACCTGTAATCCCAGCTACTCAGGAGGCAGAGATCAGAAGAATCACATTTGGAACCCAGCCCTAGCAAATAGTTCTGGAGACTCTATCTGAAAAAAATCCATCACAAAAAAGGGCTCAAGGTGTAGGCCCTAAGTTCAAACCCTAGTACCACAAAAAATAAAAATAAATAAATTGGTGGCCAGGGCCCCCAAACAGGATCCACAGGAACCTGGAAACTTCCTGTGCCATTCACTGGGCTGGGAAAGGATGAACCGGAGGGCTGCCAGTAACCCTTAATTACCTGACCAATTACTGGAGCTACTGTGTATCAAGCCTTCCTCTTGCTGTCAAGGTGGGGGACAGCCAGGGCCCAGTGGGCTTGAAGACAAAGGGCCAGGGGTTGTGGGGGCTGTTGGGGACAGGTGTAGACAGTGGGCTGGGGGGTAGTCCAGGAGCATCAGAGAGAGCTGGAGAGGACCAGGGCCACCTGCAGCCTGAGTGATAGGGTAGCCCTATGTCTCCCCTTCACTGCTCTAAAGAAGTAGAGGCTGCACTTTGGTGGGATGGGATGAGGAGGGCAGAGGTCCCCAAAGGGGGAAGAAAGGATTAGTATCAGTGCCTCTGCAAACAGCTGACATGTGCAGGAAGAGGGGCTGACAACCTAGTTTCCCATAATGACCTTTATTTAAATAGGATTTGGCAATATTTGTGGGCAGTAGTGAGCCTCTGGCTACAGAGCTGACCCAAATAAGGACTTTCTTACAAGGATACCCAGAGCCAAGAGTTCAAAAGCTCCTAACGAGGAAACAGCTTACTTTATAACAAGGTTAGCAGAGGCAGACCAGTCACCCTTAGGGTCCCCAAGGGGAGGCTCTTGCTGGGTCCTCCCCACTGTGCTTTTTTATATCCTGGGTATTTATCCCACTTGGGATTCTTGTCACCAAAGAATCCAGAAGGTTCAGGCTTTTCCCCTTTCCTCCAAGGCTTCTGGGGTCCAGTCTGTAAAGTCTTGAGTTTGACAGGGTTTTAGCAGGAACTCCTGGAGTAGGAGGAGGGAGTTTATTCATTTGGAAGTATTTGGCTATTCCAGCATTTGGTCTGGTCTCAGAGAAGCAGCTGGATGACAGCGCTGGGCCAGCCCTAAGAGCAGGCCTGTGGAGGCAGGAGTGTCATATAAGCATCCCTTGCCCCACTGAGGACCCAAGAGTTCTGTTCAGGGAGGCAGTACGAGAATTGGCTTGGAGCCACATCTGCCTTGCTGTTACTGAATTTACAGTGTGTGGCAGCAACTAGCCAGGAGCTGGTCCCCAGGTAGATTGTGAATTTAGTTCTCCATCTGTCGCATTCAGTAACCCACTGTCCTTCCCATATTCCCAGCACTGGGGCTGACACAGGCCCATCATTCCCTTGACAGCTTTCATAGACCAGTTCAGCAAGCCTGCTTGTGGTGTCTGGCAGGTGCTGGCACAGCTCTGGGCCTGGGGTGGGGGTGGGGATATAGCAAAGATGAATAAAGACCCAGAGACAAGCCCAAGTGCTTACAAGAAAGGCACAAATTCTGTGTGCTTTTGTCCTGTGGCCTCAGTATCATACAACAACAGGTGACTGGGGAGGGAGAGGGGACCTGTTCCTCATCACTATCTCAGCCTTTCTTGCTAGTCACAAAGATCCCACTGAGTGCAAATGAAGCAACCTTGGATTTGAAAATGCACTGTGACCCCACTCCATAGACACCCCCCCACTTCCAAACTCCCGGTACAGCCATGAGGTCATTGTCCTCTTGGATTTATTTCAACTGTCGTAGACCAGGTTAATGTTTCCAGCTATAACTTCGAAGAGAACAAGGAGCCTGCTCCTAACTAGTGTGTCAAGCAGAATTTCCTGGTTTTTATCCAAAAATCACCAAATTGTCTACTTGGGCTGTAAATAGAGTGTTCCTTTGACTTAGTACTACTCCTGAATCTACCCAGCTCTCGCTGGATTTTCCTAGCCCTCTGCTGATTCTGTTTAGACTTCACGTTCTTCTGAACTTGAATTTTTCCGAGCACACTTGTTCATGGCTGCACAGAGCCCTTCTGATCTATTTAGACGCAGTACACTCAGACTTCACCGCGACAGTTATGTTCTCTGGTTCATCTTGTCATTTGTTGAGGCCATCCACTTTGAGTAAACTGTCTCAGCTGTATTTATAAGAAGGTGTCCCTTCTACCCAAGAAAGTGGTCTGGTTGTCACAATCCCTCTAAGTCATCCCTGAAGGCCTGTCACCACTGTCAAAATCCCGCATAGTTGAGCATCAGTGTGGTAAGGGTTCCAAACCCCTCACTCTCTTCCTTTCCTTAGACAAAAGTGTGGCCTAGAATGTAACAAGACCCTTCTCCTCGTTGCCTTCAGGAGACACAATTTAAAATGACACCAACTCTATAATATATAATATATATTATATATATATATTTTTTTTTTTTTGAAGATACTGGGGTTTGAATTCAGGGCCTTGTGCTAAGAAGGCCCTCTACTGCTTGAACCATCCCACCCCCAGCCCTTTTTTGTTTTAGCTATTTTTCTAGGCAAGCACTCCATCACTGAGCTACATCCCCTAGTCCTTATTTTTCTAATGGGGTCTCACACTTTGCCCCAGCTGGCCTGGACCATGACCCTCCTCTTATTAAGCTCTGAATAGCCATGAGGCCCAGCTTTTTATTGGTTGAGATGGGGTCTTGCAAACTTTATTGCTCAGGATGGACTTGAACTGCAGTCCTCCTAATCTCTGCCTCCCAAGCATCTAGGATTACAGGCAGGAGTCATGGCGCCCAGCATCCATCAGACACTCAAAGCATTTCAAACATAGCATTTAGGTGAAACATGGACACCAGCAAATAGTTGAAGCCAAATGAACACAGAAGCGAATCTTATTAGATGCTAGCTAATCGAACATGTGCTCATCTGTCACAGCACCCCAAAGAATGAGTGATTTTAGAATTACAAAAATGGCATGATCCAAGATTGCTTAGGATCCAAAGTGTGAGAACAGGTTGGTAAGCACATGCTGGTGAGAGCTCTTTTGTTCCCTCACCTCTTCATTCATTGAACAATGTACTGAGTACTGCCATGGTCCAGGTGCGTCCTCTCCGTGGAGAGTGGACATGTTAGCGAGAGACATCATTAGCAAGGTAAAATAGTACATCAGAGTACAGTAGTGCAAG